ATCACTACGCACCTTCACTTTATCAAATTAACTTGAAATTATTCATTCAAAACATAATTATTTGTAAAATTTTGTATACATTTTCTTTGTTTTGTAAATAGTGCAGTTCCTGAATAAATCTCTCTATAAAATCTCTCTTTTACAAAGTTTGAAACGATTTCGGAATTTGTTTTAAGATTTTTTTTATTTTTTAGGAAGTTCACGATGATATTCGTGATACACACATGTTTCATTGTCGTGAGGGTGATGGGGTTAATAGAGAGGGAGGGACTTGATAAAATTCTTCCTCTGAAAAGGGGGACTTTTTAGAGAGCCGGGGGGCTATTTAGAAGAAGCTTAATATAGAAGAGTATATATCAGTATTTCTGAAATTCTATTATACGTCAACTGAATAACTTATAGAAACAAAGATATTGCGTACTAATGATATCAACATTCTGCTGCTGGAAGCATTAAGTCGCAAACTTGCATGGAAGGCCATGAAAAAGACTTGTGAAGCTAGAGTGCTATTTTCTATGAAGTCAATGCATATTTTAGCATAAATAATATGCCTTGTGTCACTGGTGATGAGTTTCAGCTTCGAAATGTGACATATTGAGGTGAAAATGGAACTATTGCGAATTAGGAAAGACTGCAGTTCATCCGGATATGATAATATCCCTATGAGATTGATACAACCAGTGATAGAAGATATTGTTTCGTCTTTGACACATATTATTAACTCCTGTATAAAGAATAATATATTCCCCCAAACTTGGAAAGTATCTCGTATAAGTCCTATCCCAAAAACAGATAATCCTTCTGAAAATGACGACTATCGTCCTGTGGCTATTTTGCCTATACTGTCAAAAGTTTACGAAAGCTTGGTACTACGACAAATGCAAGAATTTATTGACAGGTTTTGCTTGTATATGGATACTCAGTCAGGATTTAGAAAAGGCCACTCTACTGCAACTACATTGTTGAAATTTAAAGATGACATTACAAAAGCTATGAAAAAAGGCGAGATAACCTTGGCCATATTTGCGGATTTCTCCAAAGCATTCGACACGGTTGACTTTGAAATACTTATCAGCAAATTGTATAAGTTGAACTTTTCCAAGTCATTCCTACACTGGTTGGTAAGCTATTTGACAAACAGACAGCAATACGTGCAAGTGAATGATAAATCTTCCACTAAAATCACCACAACGTTTGGTGTGCCACAGGAATCTATATTGGGTCCAGTACTCTTCAACTCGTACGTCGCCGATATGCAACGTAATATCAATACACAAGAAAGCTGTCTACAATATGCTGATGATTCAACTTTCTATCAGCACTGCAAGGTCAATGACATAGCTGCCTGTAAATCAAATCTAGAAGAGTCATTGTCAAACAGCAATTGGTCTACACGTACTAATTTATTTTTAATGAATCTAAAACCAAAATGATGATGTTTGCCACACAACAAATGGCAGATACCACAATCTAGATAGAGAAAATGAGGTTGAAATAACGGTAAATAGCAAACTCATTGAAAGAGTTTCATCTTGGAAAGTACTTGGAATGCTTTTCCAGCAGAACCTGCTGTGGAACAATCGCATCACAGAGCTAACTTCGTCCTGCTATGGTGTCTTAGCTGTTTTGAGGAAATTAAAGCGGTTTACGCCATTTCATATCAGGAAACAACTCGCGGAGGCTTTGGTACTTTCCAAATTGGATTATTGTAATGTTTTATATACAATGCTTTGCCAACCTATCTTATAAAAAGGTTACAGAGAGTACAAAATGCGGCGGCAGGTTTTGTGCAAGGTCGATATGCAAATACGGAAAAT